GGGGGTTGCATGCGTACTCGACTATAGCGAGACTGGTGTTTTGCCCTTCCGTTTGTACCCCCGTGGTGCCCGTTAGCACAGCGGAATTTTTTATAGAGAGCAAACAGTGGTGGCCATAACAGTGTCGAGTCTTGGATATTAGAATTCAAATCTATAAATCTACCATTTTCCCGATACCATTAATGTCCATATTTACTTCCTGACGTAATGGTTTTGGCTTCCGGCACAACAATAAATCAACAGCAACGTTGTATGTGTTAGTTAAACATTCTGTCCTGTTCAACCCGCAAGGTGTCGTGGGGCGCTGCAATTACTAATGTGGGCGTAGGCCTGGAACAACACTCTCATTTTCATATTATTGTCACCTCTTTACCTCACTGTTCCCCATTTTCTTTGCTCCAACTTTTCTCCGCATCACTTTTGTTTGTGAATACTTTCTTACGAAATGGATCCTGCTTCCGTCTCAACCATAAAGCAACAACAAATATCTATATTGTACCGACGTCTGTGGTGTTGCTGTTAGACGCTTCGCTGTCACACGGAGGAGACTCGAGTTCGATTCTCGAGTTGGGAGAAAGAATTTGTCGAGAATCTCGGTCTTTATCCTGGGGTGTTGTATCCCTCTCAGCCCGGGTTGGTCCTGACAGGCAGGGTCGGAAGCCAGCGTCCTACTCCTAAATGACATATATTGTGCCTGCGAGGGTGTAAAAACATCTACTTCTAAAGATAGTATTGTTTTAAAAAAAAACTATATATTGTGTTAGTGTTAGTTTTTCTGTCCTGTTGTATAGCAAGGTGTCGTAGAAAGATGCAATTGCCCAAGTGGGCCAGGGACAAATCTTCTATGTCTCAGTCAAGTGGGTGACAGCCTTTTGACGACACTCTTGTTTTTTTTAAATATTGTTTTATCATATTCGCCCACTCTTTTCCAGTTATCTCCTCCATCTATGATCTTTACTCCGCACCACTGCTGTCCACATTTACATCCTTACGAAATGGTTTCTTCTTTCTTCTCAATCATAAAGCAGCTATAACAGCTATCTATGTCTCAAGCAAGCAAGTTAGCCTAGACGTGTTAATCTTTTGTTACGGAACATTGACCATGGCAAATATTACAAAGGTTGTTGGCCACACTTCTTTCACTATTTTCAAAACATGATAGCATAGGCGTAGGGCAACAAACACACTAACAATGTCATCACGTAGAAGCGGCCCCCATGTGGTTTTTCGGCATACCTTTATTAAATTAATCTCAGGGAGGAATATGACTACTTTTCAAATTTCTGATCACTCTATGCGAGGAGTTGGGAATGAGAGTTGTGTCCTGCCGCCCCCCCCCAGCCTGTTGGGGATCCAGAATATAAGCGCCAAACAAAAAGGGAAATACTGTCCAACCAAAAGTAGCAAAGGGGGGGTCTAGAGTAAGCGCCCAACAAAAAAAAAAAGAAAGAAAAATTCACTTTACACCATTATCATCATCATTATCATCATCATCATAATTATTACTGACTAAACAATTCCACTTTTTCTTGTTTTGTTTTTCTTGAAACATAACCATTTGCACCATTTCAGCACATTTTTACGTAACCTACAAATATCGACACCAAAGTCAGGACACGGGGAAAAAACAACAACACAAACTATGTACATCTCAGTTTTTATGTCCTGTTGTACCATTGGGTGCCCAGGAGAAATTGGATTGTTTGATGTGGGGGGAAAAAAGCAACATAAAAACTTCTCAGTTTTTGTCTAAGTGGATGGCAGCCTTTTGACAACATCCTTGTTTTTGTATGAGTATCACACCCTTACTCACTCTTTTCCGCTCTTTTGCTCCAACTGTTCTCTCATGTCCCGTCGTCTCCTCAACCAGGACAAAGTGTTGTGTATGTCTGAGCCTTCAGGCGATACAACATGTATGTAAACACACACACATACACACACACA